TATGTGTTGTTTGTGCATAGCATAGCAAAATCTACTTGTGATCATTAATCAAATTCTACAATGCCCTATCTTATCTTTTTCCACATATATTTGTTATACCTATATTGGATTTTTCATTTATTTTCTTTTCTATATCAGGCTAAATGTGGTATTTTTTAGTGCATGAAAGATATGAATTGCTCTTAACTTTAATATGCTAACTTTAACTTTTATTTAGGTACCTATTTAACTTACTATTTTTTCTCTACTTTTCAATGTAAAATTTAGCTATTTGCAAATATATGGACTATTCATTTAGGTATTTAGTTTTCCCAATTCATTTGGGACTAAACTGTTAATGTCTTACAGTTTGTATTTATAATTTTGTCTTTACTAAATGTGTTTTACATGTACTCTTTATTTGGATATTTTTCTTTCCAACCCGTTTAGGAATCAAATTTCTATTTCCACTCACTTTATCATTATGAAATATGAATTTGATATTTATAATTGTATTAGGTATGGACTCTTTTGTATGATTTAGAAACATTTTCTATGATTTCGAAACCATATCAAATATTTACCAGATTTTTTTAACTGAAAAGACAAAAGTGCCTTTAAAACCACCCTTGAAACCATGATAGAGCCATAATTTGAATGATTTTGAGAATTCAAATCTATTTTTAGAGTTCAATGAGAAAATTTAGACTCCGGCGGATAGTTTGAGAGGTAAAATAGAGATGGACCGCGTTATAGCGCGACCCGTCGCACCACGGGGGGAGCGCGCAACCCTTCCATGCGCCCCGACATTGCTTGATCGGATTCGGACCAGCCGCAAGCAAGCTGAGGTAAAAGATTTATCTACTGGCTGAGGTCCACCCGCTCCCGTACAATGATATGATCCCGCTCCCATACAATGATACCATCCGCTGTTGCATGTGCCCGGCATTAATGATGCATGCTGATGTAAGCGACAAAAAGCAAAACATTTTTTTATTGCTATAACATTAAAATGAATTATCCATTTTAATTCCGTCTACACCGATGTGTTCTACGTGATTTAGGCAAATAAAACTAGACCCCACTTGCATATGTTTGAACAATTTTATTTCAATAACAATTTATGTGTAATATGTATAATATTAAAATTGCTACTCCAGAAATATACAAGTTGTCACATAGTATACACAAGCTCGGGGCAAAAACATAAAAAAGAGTTACTACCAAGTAATACTAATGTTGCTACTCCAAAAATATACTAAACTCGTTACATAGTATGCATAAGTTGGGGGGAACAAAAAATATCAAAGGAGTTACTACCACGTAATATTATACTTGTACAACTTTGGAGATAAATTATTAAGGTAAGCATTACATAAGCTTCCAATTGGGGGGCAAGTTATTATACAATTTGCTCATATCTGCTCATCCTTTCCGCTCGAAACCTGAGGGGCTACAACCAGAGGGGTAAATTATTAAAACAAGCATTGCATACGCTACCAACTAAGGGGGCAAGTTATACACAACATATTAAAAAAAGGAAGAAAACATGACTTGATGCCAACTAGTAGGCAGTTATTACAAAATCCAACAAACATGACTTGCTGCAAAATGAAACTGAAATTAACAAAAAAATAGAACCAAAATTAACAACCAAAAATAGAACTAAAATTGAAAAATAGAAAATAAAAACTAAAGTAGATAAAATGAAAAAAAGACTAAAATTGATAAGCAATAAAAAAACTGAAATTGACAAATAGAAACTAAAAACGAAAGAAGACAAAATGAAAAAAAAATACAAATAACACTAAAAGTAAAATTACCAAGACAAAACTGAAATTGACAAAAAAAATGAATTGGCTAATAGACTATGAAAACTAAAGTAGACACAATGAAAAAAATTCCAAAGAAAACTAAAACTAAAAGTACAATAAACTAGAATTGATAATGACAACTAGAAAACAAAACAAATAATTGAGAAAAAAATAATTAAGTTATTATATAACTAATAGGTAGGATTTATGAATGCCTTCAAACTAAAAGGGTGACTAAAAATTGAAACTAAAAAACATTAAAAAAACATGACTGAAAACTGAAACTAAAAAAACTGAATAAAAAACTTGACTGAAAACTGAAACCGGGAGGCAAATTCTTTTGTGGCAATTTATGTATGCAATAGCTATACTTTTGTAACAACTTATACATTGTATGTGAGGCAACTAATATGTAGGATTTATGAAGACATTCGAACCCTAAAAGAAGACTGAAAAATGAAACAAAGAAAAAATGAAACAAAAAATAACTACCAATTACGGAAAACATTTGAACCTGAAACTAAAACTGAAGCACGGATGAGAGAACTAAATCACAAACTGAATCACCAAAAAGCAAAAAGGGTCGGTGCGGAGATGAACTAAATCACCGGATGAGAGAAAAAATAAATCACAAACATGAATGGAACAACGACGGCGAGGAGTAGGAAGAGGGGATCACCATGTCGTGAAGCTGGGGCAACGCCGCTGCAGAGAGCGGTGACCGGCGCGGTGAAGTGGAGCTCCCCGCGGTCATGCACGTGGGGCTAGGGTTCGGCCGCGCGGTCGTTTCTCCCCCTCCATATTTGCACCTGCCGCCATCGCCGTTCGCCAGCTCTACTTCCGACAGAGACGGATTGGGTGCCGACTGAATAGGAAAGAAATGACGATTTAGAATTTTGGTGCGTTGGGAGAGGGACTTTGGGGGAAGCGAAGGCCACTATTGGGCTGACCCGTCGTGGAGGGGTGTCGCGCACACAGCACGTAGCGTGGCTGGTCCCCAAATAGAGATTGCGAAAATAGACTCTCTTTTTTTGGAGAACTTCCCACGACCATTGGGCCATTCAGGCCCACAGGCCACAACCATTTGTTTATCAAGGCCCATTCATCCCGTGACGTCACTAATCTCCTCCCCTCCTCTGATTCGAAAATTTCGTCCACGGACATGGATGCGAATGCCACCGACGATTCTGCCCCGCCGGCCAGGTGAGAGATGAGCCTCACGGCGGCCTTCCGAGCCGCCAAAATCCCGCGCCCTCTTCCCCCAAAGTGCAGCGAGCCTTCCGCCGCCTCCTCGGCCTCGGCGTCCAGGGATCCGCCGCCGGGGGCCTCGAAGAGTACTAAGGCGCCGCCGCCGCCGCGGTGCGTGTACCTTATAGCCTCCTCCCGGGCCCCCCCGCACCTACGTCGGCGTCACCACCGACTTCTCTCGCCGGTGATTCCTCGCCCTGCCCTGCTTGCCTCCCCGTTCCTTCCCCCCTCCCTGTTTCTCCATTTAATTGCTTGTCTCGGATAGTCGTCGAATAGTTGCAGCGGGCATGTTCGTGTAGTGTTAGCATTTGGGGAAGCAGCCGTTTGGAGTTGTGTGAGTGGAACAACAAGAAATTGACCCCATCCGATTGTGATTGTTGTACCAACAATGTGGCTCGATCTTGCCAGGACTGAAATTCGACTGCTTTGCTTCATCCTAGTACTGCTTGCTTAGCGTTCCTATACCGAGAGTTGGAGAACAAAAGGAAGCTCTTGAAAGTGCTCAGCTCTTTTGTTGAAGATATTAAGATGTCCAGGGTTCGTTCTAATTAAGCAAAGATTTAGACATGCGAAGTTGCAATACACAATTCTAATCATGCTGTAATGTGCTTGTCTTTTTGCTTAGCTTCACCATCGTCGTTTTCCTTAAGTTGCTTCAATGCGAGCATTTGATAAATGCATACTTGGTGCACCAGTGGTGTTTGTCAACCTAGTGGTTCGTCACAGAATAGCATTGAGTTGTGTTGAAATTGTCTGAGTTGCCTTGCTCTGGTTGTAGGATACACATGCTTGAAAATGCAAATTTTATTCACTTATTTTTGGTAGGTATATGTTATTATGTTAATAACAGATAGCAGTTTAAGGAATCATACTGTTAAAAGTGAATGAAGACCTGTAGTATTAGTCATACACATAGATGTTGTATTTGTGTGTTAGTGAAAGGAGCCTTTTTTTTATATATAAAGGTTGTGCCAACACAATGGTGAGTTAAAAGGTGGTGCAAAAGCTGCCTCTGCTGGAAGGCCTTGGCATCTCGCATGCCTTGTTGAAGGCTTTGCCAACATAAGTGAAGGTTAGTTATCTGTTTTCTGGCTTACTGCTTCGCACTTTGGATGGGACTTTAATAGATTAGAACAGTTACTTGTCAGGCTCTAGGTTGTGCGCACAACTTCCCTAGCTATTTAGCATGGGATTACTAAAGTTGTATTGGGAAGTTGGAGCATGCTGGGACTATTCTATATGTTTGTTCAGGCTTTCAGTTAATGCACTATGTTTACCTTACCATACTAACAGCGCAGAAACCTGCCTCTCCTGTGTCCTGACGGATAATTGAGAAGGTCATCTATCTTTTCTAGGCAGTTAATCCTTTGGTACGTAGCATTCAACTTTTTACTTCCTTCATTTTCACACATAAAAATGTTAGTACCATCAACAAGTTGGAGTGTTTCAATCAATTCATAAATGCTTCTTAATGTAATGTTCAGCTTATTGTACTTACTAGCATCTGCAATTTCTTGATCAGAAATGAAATGGTCATCTGCTACTTGAGTTTGAACTAATACATAAGATATCTTATTTATCCAATTATCCTTTTGCACCCTGTACGTCGATGCTTTGAGCTGAAACCATGGAAGAAATATGGCTGTATATGTACTGGTTATCTACTGATACAGTGACAGGGATTCAGTATAGTCATTCTGGTTGTCTGGAAACCCACCGTGTTGAGATAGCTGCTGGGGATGGGAGCAGCTAAGAGATTCATTTTTTTCGCGCTAAGCAAGGTGAGGCGCTGATAACGCCATTTAGCCGGTGATAGCCGCTAAACCAGCCTTTAGTTAGCGCAGCTAAAGCGCAAAACCTAGCCCAAGAAGTAAACCGGCCCAACTAGCCCAACACCAGTACGTAACCCTAGCTCAGCAGTCACTATCTCTCCAGTATCCAGCGCCGCGCTCTCCAGCTCTACGAAAAAGGAGGAGGAGGCGGCTGTGCCTTCGGCTGCGGCGGCTTCGAGCGGAGCGACCGGCGGCGGCGGCGGCAGCTGTGCCCATCGGCGGCCGCGTAGCAGAGGCGACTGGCGGAGGCTGCTGCTTCGAGCAGAGCGACTGACCGGCGGCGGTGGCGGCTTCCGATGGAGGCATCTGAGCAGCGGCGCGGAGGCTGAGCGTTGAAGCACTGAAGCAGCTGAGCGTTGAAGCACTGAAGCAGCAGCACCAACGGCGACTCCATGGCACAACGATCTGGCAAGCTTCTTCTCTGCTCGGTGCTCACACCTCCTCTCTTTTTTTGCTTGTATGTCGTAGATCGTACTATATGTGAACAAGTTGTCAATATTTGTTACCTGATATCTCTCTTATGAACGGGTTATGAATCAATTAGTAATGGTTATCAAGTTATGCCAACGTCTTGTGTGTGTTTTCTTTTTCTTTTTTCTTGTAAAAACAGCTAAATGGCTTAGCTGCAGCTATCTCCGACTATAGCTACACTTTCAGCAGTTAAGAGGCTTAGCCGGAGATTTAAAACACTGCTTGAGATTGGTGCCCAACTTGCTTTCTGACAGGAGAGCCTTTGCAAAACCGAATGGGATTTGTTTTAGTTCATTGACCGTTGCATAGCTGGCAGTTTCGATTGTTCTCAAGGCTATTGGCATCAGGACATATACATGTGAAAAACTTTACATCCGTGGTCGATATTTTACCAGGAATTATAATACGATCCATGGTGATTTTGTTTGTCTTGCATCCCTGGTTGCAGCCTCCCTAGCTGCAGCAAACTAATGTTTGTGGATGGCTTCAAGCAGGAAAACATTGGTGACATTTCTTTTGGATAAACCCGGATTGCGACTGCAGAAGTTGTGGTAATGGGCGGGCCTGTGGAATTGGATGCGTCACTAATGCTTGCAGTAACGCGGTTGCGCGAACCAGTGGTTCGTATTGCAGAAAAGAAATTCCCAACATAATTCTAGCCGAATTACCTGAACAATGAATCATAAAGGCTTGGAAGACTCGTTGAACCTGTATAAATATAAACTTTATGTCGCTGTGTGTCACCATCTAAAAACATAAAATCCGAATCCGCCTTGGATCCGTGGAAAATGAAATTTTCTTAGCTTTTTACCTAGACCGTGGGAATTGGCAAGTCCTCGACAAGTGGCCAGAACTACCTTATCCGTGGAAAATGAAGTTATCTTCTCGTGATTCTCAAAAAACAAAGTTATCTTCACGTGAATACGTCCCCCAAATACTTGTCAGATACGTACCTAGACCGTATCTACGAATTTAGGCACGTATTGGATCGAATACTCATATCAGTTACGTTTGGGCTAGATTGGTTACGGCCCAAGTAGAAAGAACAGTCCACTCTCACTGCCCCGTGCATCCCTCGTTCCCTCTCCGTCCCTCTTTTGTTGCCCCCTAGAGCCGGCGGCCGGCGGCGAGGTGGCGAGCTCCAGCCTCCATCTCCGGCGAGAATCAGACCACATGGACCCCGACACTGCTCCGTTCAGCATCAGCATTCGGCCCCTCAGGCGGCTCCCTTGCTCCGCGAATCCAAATCGAGTCCCTCGCACCCGTTGAGCGCCAGTACAGACTCCGGCAAGAATCCCTCGGCACCGAGGCCTGCAAGCTCAAGTAAGCTCCTCTCATCGCCGTGTCTTTCCCCTCCCGTACTCCAGTACTGGATGTCTGGGTTTAGAAAAAGACATAAAAAAGGAGTTGAATAGGGATTATGACAATAGATTACATCTTCTTGTTGCCAATTTTGCAAAGTCATTGTTTAGAATGGTAAAGTTCTGAAGCCCACTCTTTGAAATGACAAATAGCTAATTTCTCTAGAAAAATCAGTACGATTTATAATTCCTGGTGTCAATCCTTTTTTTCTTAACGTGTATCCGCTTGTCAGAACGTATTGTATCGTATCCGATACTCGTATCGTATCTGTATCCGTATCTAGGGGCATAGCGTACCACGCACGCCGAAGCAGTGTCATTGATAGGGCTGTTTCTTTCTTTTGCTGGAGGACTGCTTTATGGTCAAGTCTATTTGCTTAGCTCAGCTGCCTAAGGCATTGTCACTGGTAGGGCTGTTTCTGTCCTCTCGAGGATGCTTTGTTCAAGTCTTTTTTGCTTTCTCGCTGTCTGGGCCAGTGAGTGTCACTAGCTAGGAAGAATCTTCGCAGGAAACCACCCAAAAATCGGGGTCGTCGGCGCTGGGGAGGAAGGAGTTCGAGGCGGAGGTGAGGATCATCAGCCGCCTGAAGCATCGCAATCTCGTGCAGCTCCTGGGCTGGTGCGACAGTCGTCGCAACGGCCTCCTGCTTGTCTACGAGCTGGTGGCCAAAGGCAGCCTCGACAGGCATCTCCACAGCAGCGACAGCGAGAGCTTTCTGACGTGGCCAGAAAGGTAAATAAACCATGTAATCATCCAAGTAGTTAATTATCATGCATAGACTAGTAATAATAAACGACATATAAAGTGTTAGAAAAGGTTATCAAATTAAAGTTGTTTATATTTGCTCCTCTAATTTGTCCACATTTATATAGATATAGTACATCCTTCTTTAATTTTGTCCTGTTGTAATAATTTCTTGTTACCAAAATTACTCTATATTTTTTTATCCATATTTGTAGTTTGTTCCCTTATCACATCTTCATGTTTATTTAATATGTGTTTAGTTGAAATTTTAGCTCAAACTATGTGTTTGACGTCAAATATATATGCATATGTGATGTAAATGATGCCGCGCATAATGCATGTGTGTCTTGAGTTAGTTTTTTAAATATGAATGATGGTAGAAATTTATAATTTAGAAGCACACATATAAATACTTTGGGATATTTTTGTAAAAATGGCAGATAATTTAGATGCAAATATGGAGGGTTAATTTATGCTAATTTTGAGGCTTCTTTAATTAGTTTTCATCATGTTGTTGTTAAGATTACTTTAGGTTATTTTTAATAATGACGACTGAGGTGGCTATTTTAGATATAAATTTGAGAGTTACTTCAAATTATATTTGTAATGGTATATGTGGCTAACTTAAATGAAGGTTGGAGAGTTAGCAGTGGTGGGTGATTGTGATTGCGATTGTAGTCTGTTGTGAATAGGTCCAATGGCTAATATCTCGACTGTGATTGCAGTCTGTTGAATTGATCACTGTTTGTTTCTAATTTTTGTGAGAGAACTTTTATAATTTATTTATGGGAGCACGACTTTTGAATATTAACATGGATGTAATACTATTCCATCAAGCCATGTTGCCGCATTTAGTCAACAATTTTAATAGATTATAAGTATTAGATATTTATGTATAAATTTATGGTCCGCGATTAATCAAACTGTCCATCTTTGCTTTCTCTTATTTGTTCATATTCTAACATAATACTCATATGGATACTTTCTTAGTTGTATTCGGTTGTGATATATAGACTTTAGTTACCAAGTGCTCTATATAATTTTCTATCACAATTTATAATTATCCACTTTGGATCACATCTTGATGTGTGTTCGGCATATGTTTAGTTGAAATTATCTCTCATATGTTCATACATATTCCAATATAATACTCTTAAATACTTTCTTTTCTTTTATCATGCTGTGATAGGCATTAACTACAATTACATCATATATTTTACCATCCTTATTCATTCTTTCCACTCTTTGCATCGCACTTCTATGTGTATTTGACTTGTGTTAAGTTGATACTCTCTCATGTGTTCGTATTATAATCACTGTTTTCATAAACACTAAATGATAGAGAGTCGATCACCCGCTGTTTAGCCATTATTCAGGCTAAACGGTCAAAAATGGCGTTTTAAATGAAATAAACGGTTGATTAAATGGAAAGAAAATGGGGAACAACCATGCAGCATTTAAATGATGCTTAAATGGGCTAAATGACTATTTAGCCTAATTGTAATAGAATACAAATATAGCTGCTTTCTTATCTTTATCTTCTTGTGGTAGACTTATATAGTTTGTCACCCCATTAATATTTTCCACCTTTGCATAGCATTATTCTATGTGTACTCGACACGCATTTAGTTAAAACCTTAGCTTTAACTATGTATCTGGTTTCGAAATCAACATGCTTATATGTGTGTCATGCATAACTTGAGTTGATTTTTTCTATATTTACGGATTTTGTAATGATAGATGTAGGTAATTTAGATTTATGGTTTACATTATGTTGTTTCTAATAGTAGAGGTGGTACATGCATATTTAGGGATTATTTTGTATATTGGCTGGTACTTTAGATTAAGATTAATGCTCACTTTAAGTTTTTTACATAATAATGGCAGGTAGGTAATTTAGTTAGACCATTTTATAATGATAGGTGTGGGGTAATGTTTTAGAAGATGGAACAAACGTAATAGCTATTATTGTTAATAATGACGATTAGATCGAGTATGCCGAATGACCGAACAGATGGCTGGATATATATTTCTGGTTGTCGTATGAATTTTTAAGATTTACTTTTTATTAGCCTATAAAATTAACGCATGTAGGCTGCTATGAGCAGTAATACATATAGAGTTAGTAATATAAATGGTCCACCTCTTGCTGATAGATTTTATTGTATACGTAGGTACCAGATCATCCTTGCCTTGGGATCCATGCTACGGTATCTCCATCAGGAGTGGGAGCAGTGCGTGGTGCACGGCGACATCAAGCCCAGCAACATCATGCTGGATGAGTCCCTCGGCACCAGGCTCGGCGACTTTGGCCTATCCAGGCTCGGCGACCACGGCGCGCGGTGGCACACCACCCGGGCCGTGATGGGCACCGCGGGGTACATACTCCGAGTTCGTCAACACGCACCACCCGAGCACCTACTCCGACGTCTACAGCTTCGGCATCGTCCTCCTCGAGATTGTCTCCGGCCGGTGCCCTGTGATCCTGCTGGAAGGCGGAGCGCACTTCATCCTGGTCAAGTGGATGTGGGGCCTGCACAGCCGGAATGCAATCCTCGACGCGGCGGACGAGCGACTGAGGTCCGGCGGCAACGAAGCCGATGACAGGTGCATGGAGAGGGTGCTCGTCGTCGGGCTGTGGTGCGCCCACCCTGACCCGAGCGAGCGCCCGTCGATCGCGCAGGCTATGCACGTCCTGCAGTCGGAGGACGCTAGGCTTCCGGCGCTCACGCCGCAAATGTACAGGACGGTGTCGGAGTTTGCCGTCACTGGACGTGCTATCGGCGCCTTGTCCGTTCAGGGCTCCTCTTCCACGACCACGACAACCGCCGGCCACTCCAAGGTCTCTTCCGAGTCGGCGTCCTCGGCGTTGCTCCGGGATTCAAAAGAGTTGGCTTGATTTAATTTCATCACTGTTGTATGGGCTGCCTCTGGTCTATGGGCGGCTGTGTGTGTTTTATATTGACTGTAAAATTACTTTTTTCACATAATCACATTCATCACTGTTGTACTTCTTCACTTAAAAACAATCATCTGTTGTAGTTCTTCACTTAAAGCAATCATGTTTTTACATTCAACACAGAGTATCATTAAGGTGTTGTTTGGAAAGGCTTAAATTCTAGGAAAAGTCAGCTTTTCTCCAGCTACCAACAACAGCTGCTTGGAAGAGAAGTTTGAGCGAGGAGAAGCTTACCGTTTGGCACATCAGTTTTTCACTATTTTTCCTTACCTCCCTACGGAGGCTTCCATGGCTGGATCTCGGCAATGAGGGCGTGTTTGGATGGTGCCTGGCAGGCAGCTGCTGGTCCAGGCAGCGATCGTGACCTCAGGCCGATGAAATCGTGCTCCTGGGATTGCTTGCCTATGCCCGGCAGGTTTTCAGTCTTGCAAGCAAACAAGCCTTCAGATTGGACCTTGGGGTACAGTGGCTCTGAGAGCTTGGAGATGGAGAAGATGGCCAGTAGAGGAAGGCGCTCGCACCCAACGGATGCATGTCACATCCTTTTTTTTTTGTTTTGGGTTGAATAGAAATACACTAAATAAAATTAATGATTTAATTTTTTGGTAAAATTTTCAAGGTTTAGTTGATTTATTGTTAATTGAGTTAAATAAAAAATGCTATATAATTTCTAAACTGATTTTCCTAGCCTCCTAGCTAGGGGTGTTGCATCCACTACTTTGCATTAATTTTATTGTGTGAAAAATGAATTTTAAAAAGTCCATTTAAGCCCCGAATAGGTTTTTCTATTTTCAAATTGTTTATTTAACAAAACTAGATGTTTCAAAATATAGTTGAAATAGTTTTCAAATTGTGTTCAAAAGTTTGAAAACTTAAATGGTTTAAAATAAGTTTGTGAAAAACTTTTAAAACCCCTATTTCTGTTTGGTTCTAAACCCTTCAAAATCCAACCCAAGGCCCCATCCATTTTCCCTTCTTTTCATTTTCTCTAATTTCCATCTGCGTGTACCCATTTTCCTTGCTGGCCGTCAGCCTAATACAACCTCTTGGCCATCCCACTCCCACCTCCTCTCCCTATAACACCGACATGTAGGGACCACCGAACATCTTCCTCCTCCCAATGTTCCCCTTCCTCCCATGCGTGCAACCGAGCTCAAGCTCAAGCTCAAGCACGCCATGGCCGTCTTGGCCCTTTCACTCCCACACATTCTTGATCATTCACTTCCATGCATTAACGCTCAGCCTTAATTCAATCCTCTCTTCACACCCCTCCGTTACTACTCTACCCTGTTGTAACGGCTGCCATTAACGATATTTACCGAAGCTCCATCACTGGCCAGTCCCGTCCCTTTCCTCTCCTATAAAATGCCTCTGATCTTCGCGTGCTCGAGCTGCAACTACCCCACATATTCTTTCCCTCTACACCTTCGGAGCCATATTGCCAGCACAAACCGCCATGGCATGGTCATGCTTAAGGCTACACCTCCTTGCGTAAGCCACCTCTCACTCCACTTCAACCTTCGTTGGATTCGCATGGGAGAGATACATCCACAACATTGCTCCCTGTCATGAAACGTCTGTTCAGAAACAAAGACCATGCAAAGTTGCTGCGATGGCACAAAGAAGACCGTAAGGTAGACAATATGTTGAGACACCCTGCTAATGGGTCCCAGTGGAGAGCAATCGATAGAGAATTCTCGGAGTTTGCAAATGACGCAAGAAACTTTCGGGGAACAGACCAGGTAGTCATAGCACTTGGCCTATTACTCTATGTATCTACAACATTCCTCCCTGGTTATGCATGAAGCGTAAGTTTATTATGATGCCAGTGTTCATCCAAGGCCCAAGGCAACCTGGCAACGACATCGATGTGTACTTGAGGCCACTAGTTGAAGAACTTCTACTTTTGTGGAATAGACCAGGTGTACGTGTGTGGGATGAGCACAAACAGGAGCACTTTGACCTGCGAGCATTGTTGTTCGTAACATTCAATGATTGGCCTGCTCTAAGTAATCTTTCAGGACAATCAAACAAGGGATATAATGCATGCACGCACTGTTTCGATGACATTAAAGGTATATTCTTGAAAAAAAGTTGAAAGGTCGTGTACCTTGGCCATCGTCGATTTCTTCCTGTGAATCACCCCCTAAGAAAGAAAGGCAAGCATTTTAATGGTAAGGCAGACCACCAGACCAAGCCAGGCAACCGAACTGGTGAGGATGTACTCAATACGGTCAAGGATGTGAAAGTAGTATTTAGAAAGGCACATGGCAGCGAACCTGTTCCAAACGACACCAACGGTCACGCACCCATGTGGAAGAAGAAGTCCATATTTTGGGAGCTACCATATTGGCAAGTCCTAGAGGTCTGTAGCGCAATTGACGTGATGCACCTGACAAAGAATCTTTGTGTGAACCTGCTAGGCTTCATGGGTGTGTATGGAAAGCCTAAGGACACACTTGAAGCACGACAGGACCTATGGTGTTTGAAAAAATGAGACAACCTGCATCCAGAGAAGACAGATGATGGACGCCATTACTTAAGTCCTGTCAGCTACACTCTTAGCAAAGAAGAGAAGGAAAGTGTCGACACAGAATTTTCGCCTCCGTGCTGAGGACACACGCAGCAAGCCGGAAGGGTCCACTCGATGGAGCAGATCCGCCTAGCTTCAGCGCAAGGGTGGTCGATCCTGCGCAATCCTCCCGAGACGTGCCAGTCAATTTGACCCTACAATTGATAAGGAGAGAAAGCTTATCAGTAAATAAGGGCGGAACATGCCGGTGTTGCCAGACAGTCCCGAGTGTAAGGCTCTGAAAGCCGATATGAGAGGAAATCGATTAAATAGTCGATCCCAGCATGCTCACAAGAATGAATCGATTAAAGCTCATGAGGTTGTATAAGAAGAATCAGTTATTATTCAGGATAAATGTTATTTAAGCAAATGTTAATCAATGGAAATAAGATATCAATGATGATCGATTTATACTAAGCCAATGATTACAAGTAACCGAACTCTTTTTATATAAAGAAACAATTCAACACCTCTTAACCATTTAATAAAGATAAATCTAATGAACATGTTAGATCTCATCTATCTCCATGACCAGTGGGGCATGAGGTAGGATCATGCAGGCCATAGAAACAACAATAGACTCGACGACCCTCTTGTCATTTGAGGCGGCGTAGAAAAAGACTAGAGCAGGGAAAGGTGTTGCCCAACTCGGACAACAATCACAACAGTCAGTCCCCCCTCTTGTCATTCGTAATGAATATGGTTCAAACTTAGACTTACTGGACGTCAATTTTAAGGATCTGGCTCGGTTTTACGAGGATACCGGTTTGGACCTTGCACAAGTACTCGTTGAAGGACCATCTGTTCCGAAAGTGGATCCTTGGAAGAAATTTGAACATGGAAATAGTCTATACAACCCTGAGGCCTTAGGTGAACTGGGTACGCAAATGTACCTACTAAACAAGTGGTACATGATGGCGTGTGAACGGGGAGAGAACTTTGTTTCTGTCAGAGTTAGAAACCAACATTACTTCCGTGGCGATGACGTTGTATATATCGAGTTTTTAGAATTACACCAACTATGCCACCTAGACTCTCTCGACAAAAGTCTCATTAGCTGCTATTGTCTATAAGTGTGATTATTTTCTACTATTAAAGTGTATATATATAAAGCTACATGTATATATATAAATTATATATCCTCACACTATATTTTTATATATGCAGGTATGAGATGACAAAACTCAGAAAGAGAAAGGATAATGATGTTGGTTTCGTTGATCCAAATGTCGTATTCAAACACCCTAATCCCCCGCTTCAATGAAAAGCTGAACTCGAGAAAAATCTCATGAGGTTCTTAGTGAACCAACAAAACAAGGACATACTCTTCCCCTACAACTTCAAGTGAGTGTTAAATAATTAATGTCGATCATATGGACATTTGTTCAATTATTTGCTTACTAGCTAAGCTATCTCCCATATATATATATATATATATATATTGACTCTAGTTAATGTCGATCATATTTGTGTATAAGAACAAATGCAACAATCACTAGATATTGATGGTCATCGATATGGCCAATAGTCGGTTGAGCATCTTAGACTCGTTAAGAAAAGAGCAAACAGAGTACCAAGACATGATAGATATTATCCAAGGGTAATTTCGTCTCTCTAGCAACTATATATACCCCGATCTCTTAACTGCAACAATTATTAAAGGTAAAATTAATTTTTTATTTTATTGGGCTTAGTGTTTGGAAAAGTTTCATTGAGGAACACCACATGAAACATTGCGAAGCGCCACTGGATGTAATCACACACAAAGTAAGTGCTAGCTACATTTATATATATATATAATTCAATTAATATCATGCATGCTTTGAATTCACCGGATCTTTTTTCTCGTAAAAGTGAGTTCTGAGGCAAGAACAGGGGAACAACTACTGCGGATATTATGTTTGTGAGTTCATCATGGCGTACGTAAAAAGAACTCCTGAAGAGATCCTCAAAGTATGTTATATAAATATATTCATATATTCACAATTTCTTTTATTGCTCATATATATAAGTAATCACGTGACCAACACACACATATATATATATATATATTAATACTTTTCCTTTAACTTTTATTGAAGACTCTATGGTTGAAGGAAAAAGTCATACGACTTGACCAACTGAAAGCAATTCAAGAGACCATAGCAGGATTTCTTAATGACCAGGTCTTAAACGCCGCCGGCGAGTTCTACAATGACATGAACGAAACATGGAAGCCAAACCAGATGGAGTGAATTTGTTATCCCAAGGATATGATAGAATATACAATGCAAGCTTTATTTATAATATATATATACATATTATATGTACATAAAATAACGTACAATATATATATATGCATGTAATATATACGTTAGTTTCATACTTT